CCCCCCCCCCTCCCCCCAAGTGCCTAACGTAATACTTGAACGGGCACTAAGTCTGCACTGAAAAAAAATTCTCGGCGTTTTTACCAAGGTCCGTTGATACCTTTACCATCTCACTTTTTTTTTACCAATTATTCGTAATTATACCACGACAGACTAGTAAGCTCACCTAAAAACCGGTATTCTCACTGTTTTTTTTTTTTTTTTTTTTCAGGTAAGAATACCACATTTATTGGTAATCAATTCCCGGTAATTTGCCATTTTATCTCGGTAATTCTACCATAGTCGATAAAAAATATTGGCGTTTTTACTAAGGTCCAGTAAAATTACCGAGAAAGTTCAATAATTTTACCGAGATTTCTCGGTAAAATTACCAATTCCACGGATGGTAATTTTACCATGAAAAAACTGAGATCAAATAGAACCCTGAATTCGTGGTAATTTTACCCTTTTCTTAGTAAATACACCGAGGTTTTTTTTTTCAGTGTGTGTCAAATTTTGGACTACGCGTTTTAAAATTCGAGACCCACGTGGCAACCATGCCGAAGCGTCGAGTCTCAGCGCCAGGCAAAGATACAAATAATAGAGCACACCGCGTTTCATAGTAATCGCATAGCGATGCGCCATGTGAGAAAAAAACGAAGACGCGGCTTTTGAGGGGGCGCAGGGGGAGTGGGGGGGAGGGGGTTTACCGTGCATCAGGCGCCTCTCCGTTGCATCAGCGTTGCGGCAGGCATTACACCGTGCCAACTTGCGATTCTAATTTATTTCGTTTCCTTCGGCCGATTATTATTGTCTTCTCCAATGCTCGCCTACTTTTCTTTATGCGATTCCCATCGGCCCCATGCGCTCCGCTCTGTTCCCGCTTTTCTTTTTTTTTCTTTTTTTTTTTGTTTTTTACATCCGTGCACGCAGCCTCTCACTTCTGGAATCGGGGGTTTTGCGCTCGGTGGCGATACACTCTAGAGACGCGGCGCTATCTCCCTTATGGAGTTGGGGTTACTTTTGGAAATCAACGCTTAGATTCGCCAAATTATGACTGATGACTCAACAATACTGCCGTAATAGCGAAGAGAGCCGTAAGTGCAAAAGTTTCGAAATCGAGTTTTCTTCAAAATTCGTCTAAACTCTTTTAGATGAAATTACCGAGACAGCTAAAACAGCAAAATTCATCCTAATTTAATGAAAACAAGACGTATGAGAAAGCCGTAAGTGCACAAAAAATGACATTCAAGTTTTTTTCAAGAGCCGCAGGTGCATGAGAGCCAATGAAAAGAGTGCTTTCCAGTAAGGCGCCGCCCTCTTCTGCCAATTTCTAACCTGAACATGTGTTTGTTGTGCGTCCAAAACGCAACCACGCAAGCATGTAGAAGATGGCACTTACGGCTGTCTTGCCTAACAATAACCTAGCATGAAAATGAAAAGTACCCTTTTTATGTAATGGAAATAAAATCAGTTAATTTGTAATCATCCATACGATTTCTAGGAGTCTTCTGGACGATTAGTGGCAATTTGACAAAGAACGGAGGCTTCTTTCAATAAAATGTTCCGGTCAGAAGCTTCTGAGCCCGTTTTCTCCAAACTTCATTTTTGCACTTCCGGCTCTCTTCGCTATCACGGCAGAATAGAGCGATCGATTGGTAAAAAAATAAAAAAGGAGCGTGAATTTTGAAAGACCGCTACGAAGATACGTGGTTTTTTACTATGGCAATCGATGTGTATTTTATGATTCACTCACCATGTTCTTTGTCGCTATGGTCGTCCACATCGCTGGCATTGTCATCGTCATCGTCATCTTCTGGGCCGGTGTGCCCGCCTTCACTGCCCGAATGGTCGCCTCCGCTTTTGGATAAATTCAAAACGGGACTATGACCAGCTGATGAACCTGGAAAGGCAGGATTATAGTTGATCAAAAGAATATAATTTAAATTTAAAGATACAGAAACGCGAAACTGACCAAACAGTGTAAAAATGCGTATGACCTCTTCTCACCTATATAAACCTGAAATAAATCTCTACAAAACCTCTGTCGCCAAAATGCGTGTTCCAGTATACTTCTTATTTTATATGAAATTCTCAAAAACTCGGATGTTACAATTTTTCTGTAAAAAAATTTAGGATTCCTGAGAAAAATAATTATGCTAAGTGTGTTGTTGTTATTCATTTCAAGCAAGTTTGTTTGTTTCAAGCAAGAATATTTTGTTACAGCGATTGGTGATGCATCAGATTTTAATATAAAGTTGATTTGTATAGATTGATAGATCGAGAAACCAATCGACTTACCATTTTGAGAACTAAGATCACGTGCCTTCTTATCCAAAGCCAAAACTCGATCAGACTCGCCTCTCTCCTCATTTAACCTGAAACACAAAAATCACATCCTGTTATAAAAGGAAGACTAACAATTCATCGTAATGACTGCACAAAAAATTCAAGTGCTTTGCAAATCTGCAGAATGTCCCCCTCGGCCGCAGTAGCAGCAATCGACCTTCGAATGATACCACTATTTTAACACGTGGGAATGCGCGTAGTATAACGCATCAATTGAAGGCGAAACATGTTGCAGTGAGTCGCAGTTGCAGAAATCGACATTCACATGATACCACTATTTTAACACGCGGGAACGCGTGTGGTATAACTCATCAATTGAAGGCGAAACATGTTCCAGCGAGTCGCAGTCGCAGAAATCGACATTCACATGATACCACTATTTTAACACGCGGGAACGCGTGTGGTATAACTCATCAATTGAAGGCGAAACATATTCCAGTGAGTCGCAATCGCAGTAATCGACATTCGAGTGATATCACTATTTGAAAATGTGGCAGCGCGTGTAATAAACCTCATCAAATGAAGGCGAAACATATTCTAGTGAGTCGTAGTTGCAGCAATCGACGTTCGAATGATACCACTATTTTAACGCGTGGGAGCGCGTGTGGTATAACTCATCAATTGAAGGCGAAACATGTTCCAGTGAGTCGCAGTCGCAGCAATCGACATTCGAATGATACCACTATTTTAACGCGTGGGAACGCGTGTGGTATAACTCATCAATTGAAGGCGAAACATGATCCATGGAGAATCATGGTAACCGCGCATGAACACGTTCGCAAGCAGTAGCCCATGTAATTTGAGCATTACATTGAGTTATCGCAAACTGCGAGGCAGTAAACTCAGACGAGGTATTGTCATCGGAAAATACCGAGATGAAAATCTTCGATCCGCGTCTTGCGAGCCGTCTGAGGGTCCCTCGGACCGCCCCCCGCGAGGCGGCCTCGCGGACTCAGGGAGGGCTCAAATCTCATTTCCGGAGCCGATAATTAGCAAATCCCTGGAGCTACTGGATCCCACCATCGGCGCACAGTGGAACAAATCTTCAGGAATGATCGGACAAAAAACATTTGACACAAACTGTACATTTTGATGCTTGTCCAAACTCCTTTATTGGTTCGCTCTAGTGTGCGGCAGGCTGAGCCCCGGCATTATTAAACTAATTTTCAGTCGTCTCGACTCGATCTCAAATTGATTCCTGCCTCGGTTTCAGATTCGGGTTCCCAACTTGTTTACTGTTCATGCCTCAATTATACGATTCCCGTCGCGCCGAAAGACCGAGGCCGCGCGAGCAAGGAAAGCTCCGTTCTTCTACTTTCAATTCAGCAAATTGGCAACATAGTTTTTCTCCATTCAAATCTATGGAAATGTATCGACTCTTAGACGGGTCAGGTGCTTGATAAGTCCACATATTTCCTCCAATTTTAGCAAAATTTCAGTTTTTTCCTTGGTTTTTGGAGTGTCTCACTTATTCAATGTCAGTTTGGTGACGCTGTTTTCCATCAAAAATTTTGGTGTAATATGCAAGGAATATGTGAGCAAATATTTTTCTCTTACATCTACAGGGGGCCTCTCGAGCTAACCCCAATGATTTGTTTGGTTTTATTGCTGTAAATTGGCAGGAAAAATTAATAACAGCAAAATTTCAGTTTGGTGACGTCACCAATCCTGACATGTCCAAACCAAACTGACATGTCAGGCTTGGTAAAGAAAAATAATCGTGAAGGTATTGCGATGCACTTAATTGAATCCTATAGTATGGAGCTCTAAGATAACAGAAAAGTAGTCTATAGCTTGATATGGCCAAATCACTTTTCAACTTTTTTCAGAACCATTTTCTCCCATTAGCTGAAATCCACCCTTATCGGACATATTTTTAACAATTTAATTGTTACATCAACAATCCATTTTTCCCGTTTACAGGAAAGAAGACACTACAAACGCAGCCTGTGGTCTGTGGGAATGGCAACGTGGAGTCAACACTCCATAAAAGAAGGGAGGTTGGAGGACGAGGGGGTAGGGGGTGTTATAAGCGATAATTCGGGGTGTCGGGGAAATCATCGAGCCACGATATCATTTTTGAGGCGCATCCAATGCTGAGGGGGCCATTAGGAAAAGCGTAATGAGTAAATGCTTTTAAGTCGACGGGGCTTTCCTCCGCGAAGCGCTGGAACTCGATATTATTTCCTTTCACGCATTAACGTTTCCTTTTTTATTTATTCGCCGCTCGCCTCTTCCGGTTCTCCGTTTCCGCTGATTAAAATTTATACGAGGTTTTAAATGCGTTATTTACGACGTCGAAGCTTCTTCGCGCCTTTTTATTGCTCCTCGGTCAGGTTTTGGTTGTTAATTGCGCTTTCCGCCCCGGTCCGGGATCGCCACCCGAAAAGCTTTTACGGGAAATCTACATTTCCTCCGCGCATATTTTCCGCCCTCTTATGATCTAAGATGAGGAATAACGGAAACGATATCAGTACACAGAAAAAGAAGCACCATCAAATAAACACTGAAAACAACTATCGGCGTTTTTACCAAGGTCCGTTGGTACCTTTACCATCTCACTTTTTTTACCAATTATTGGTAATTTTACCAAGACAGACTGGTAAGCTTACCTAAGACCCGATATTTTTACTGTTTTTTTCAGGTAAGAATACCACTTTTATTGGTAATCAATTCCCGGTAACTTTGCCATTTTATCCCGGAAATTTTACCACAGTCAATAAAAAATATTGGCGTTTTTACCAAGGTCCAGTAAAATTACCGAGAAAGTTCAATAATTTTACCGAGATTTCTCGGTAAAAGTACGAATTCCATAAATGGTAATTTTCCCAAGAAAAAACTGGGATCAAATAGAACCCTGCATTCTTGGTAATTTTACCCTTTTCTTAGTAAATACACCGAGATTTTTCTTTCAGTGAACGTATCTACCAACCAATCAACCATTTCATTGGAGTGAGAATCACTGGAGTCATTTGAAGTGAGAATGCCATTACATCTTCGCATACTACCGTGCGTTTTTCCCCTTTCAGAGCGTCATAGACGTCGATACTGTCCACATAATTCATATTTCTAATTATTTCTCATGTCCCTCAGAACGAATGAGACGTAATTCTCAGTTTGTCAGGGTGTGGCCGTCTGTATGCGTGGCGAGCCTTGGGAAGATGGATTTCGGGAGCGTATCCAGGTAACATCCCTCGGGTTTCTAAAACACTGGTGGTTTTTTTATTTGCACGCACAGGCACACGAATGAGCATTGCTGAGGAAAAAAGACGTTCACGAGACGGGAGCGGGGGGTCATAAATAAAAAAGCGTCTTAATTTATTTCCAGAAGCTTAATCCTTCATCGAACCGTGCCAATAAAACATGTTACTCGACTGTGTTGCCAAGTTTATTCTTTGTGAAACGCGATCACGCCAGAGACGAGAACCTCTCCACTGGCCTCTTGGCGACAGGTGGAAGCTTTTACTTTCGGGGATTCAACAATTCCTTCCGGAAAATTACAAGGGATCAATAGTCATCGGCCTAATTTTGGCTCTTGACCTATCAACACGGTGGATGGTGAGCTTCGGGTGACGTCATGAGCAAAGCAAGTTTCCCAAACTTCGGCCGTTTTCGGCTTGTTAGCAAAACGAAACTGCCAACACGTTGTTAAACATCAACCATGTAGGTAAGTCAACAGTTAATTGTTGAAGTCCCGAAAGTCTAAGCTTCCACCATGGCCAATTTACTAGTGGAGGGTCTCTCGTCTCTGCCATCGACATACAAGACATTTTCTTTAGCAATGTGGCGGTGAATCTCATTCGGAGATTATTTCGACTCGCACTCGTTTCAGCTTCACTGAAAAAAAAATTCTCGGCGTTTTTACCAAGGTCCGTTGGTACCTTTACCATCTCACTTTTTTATGAATCATTGGTAATTTTACAAAGACAGACTGGTAAGCTTACTTAAAACCCGGTATTTTTACTGTTTTTTCCAGGTAAGAATACCACTTTTATTGGTAATCAATTCCCGGTAACTTTGCCGTTTTATCTCGGTAATTCTACCACAGTCGATAAAAAATATTGGCGTTTTTACCAAGGTCCAGTAAAATTACCGAGAAAGTTCAATAAAATTTTACCGAGATTTCTCGGTAAAATTACCAATTCCATAAATGGTAATTTTACCAAGAAAAACTGGGATCAAATTGAACCCTGAATTCTTGGTAAATTTACCCTTTTCTTCGTGGATACACCGAGATTTTTTTTTCAGTGCGGAACTTCATTTTGCAACCCTGCGCGGAGGAGTTAAAAAGTTACTTTTACCGAGATTTCTCGATAAAATTACCAATTCCATAAGTGGTAATTTTACCACGAAAAAACTGGGATCAAATTGAACCCTAAATTCTTGGTAATTTACGCTTTTCTCAGTAAATACACTCGGATTTTTTTTCAATATTCCAACGGCAACAGTGGAGTGGCGAGTGGCTATTCATCAATGAGCGCTCGATGGGAGGGGGGCGGGAGTGGAAATGGAAAGCGGGAGGGGCTCCC